TGATGGGCTGCTGAGAATACACAGCCATGCGTCCCTTTATCCTTCAACCTTGCCACCAGATTGCACCGGTGTGACGGGAACTGTCGACCTGCCGAATCGCCTGACGGTTCTTTGCAGTTCAGCAGCACCCTGATGGCGCCGATTTGCCGCGGCGAGGACGGCACCCCGGCAACGCATCGCGGTAAGCAGCACCCAGCAACCGGGGCCCGAACAGCACCCGTTTGGTGCTCACAACAGTGGAAGACGTGGAGGTAGTAGAGAAACCAGCATCCCTGCAAGACCGACGGGAAACCCCCCCAGAGTCAGAGGGCTCCGACGTGTGCCAAGAATCTCGAAAAAAACAGCTCAAGGTCCTTCTTCATCTACTTTTGGGACCATCTGTCCAAGTGTTGGTTCATCCACTTCACCGGCCCCAACCCTTCAAACACAAAAAGATCCGAAGGATCTACTGTATATCGAGCTTGAAGGCAGTTTGAGCTTGGAGGCAGTAAGGCTTCCATGTCAATTTGTCTGATACACTCGATCAGAAATGGGTAGAAATGACACTTCCCATGGCAGTAGTGCGGGAGGGTTCATCAACAGTAGCCCTTCTCACTTTGTAGGTGATGTCCCTCCAGGGCGATCTTGGGACTTGAGTTGAAAAACCTACTAGGAAAGCCACCGCTCCACTCGCGGACGTTCAACCAGCGGACGGATCGTGATGTTCGTTCGTCGGTTTCGACAGCGTCGAAGCCTGAAGGTTCTGAGATCCGCAGAGGTGGGGACTTCCACGCATCGCTCGAAAAGTCCAGGTCCCTCTATCAACATACCATGAAGTATGTCCATAAGTAATCACAATTATATATATATATTCATATGTATATGGTATGTCTATATATATCTTTAGATACACTATATACATAATAGTTTATGTAATATGTATAATATGCGTGTATATGGCCAATGGCCATTTGATGCCCACTAAAAACGGCTCGGCATCAGGGAAGCTCTAATCTCCTCCCTGTCCCACCCAACGAAAACGGGCTCTCAGCAGCCTTAAGAAAGAGGCCCACGGGCACGAGGTATTCGATGCCTCGGAGCGAGCCAGAGCGAGCCATGATTGCGCCCTCTTTCGTGCATCAACCCACTCTGGGAGGACTGAGAAAGAGACCTAGAAGCGACGGCCTCCAACCAAATAGCAAAAGGAACCTAGCAATGGCCTCCCCCGAATAGCAATCGCCTCCAACCTAATAGCTATGGCCTCCAACCTAGAAGCGATGGCCTCCTAATGCAAAAATCAGAATGGATTCAAGAATCTTTTGTGCATCTACTGTTGCATCTACTGAGGCTGAACCCGCTGAGAAGTTCCAATTCCTTCAATTCGTCCAAGCTCCCCAGCTGCCAGGGTTGCCCACTCGTTTGGAGGAGATGAAGGTGACCACCTGAAAAGTGCGTGATGGAAGAGCAAAAGATTCCGAAATAAATACAAAACAACGAATAATGTTAAGTGACGGAACTTTCATCCGTCTCGTGGCGTTCTTGAGTACAGGTGGCCAAGATACGCCGTTCTTCGAAAGGATATGGCATGTTCAGTTCTCGCAGGGCAATAAGGTTGTCATGTTTTGACTATGGGTCTTCACGGACCCGAGAAACCACATTATGCAGGGGCAAACCCAAGGTGCAGGTTAGCTCGTGCTGCAGGGCCGTCAGCATAGTAGACTGATCCTAGCCCTTTCAAAGGATCAACGACCTAGACATAAACCCCTAATCCCTTCATCTTGGTCGGCATAGGGGGATGATCTCAGTCTTTCACCCAATATGTCTCCGATCCTTGGCTCCCCCCCGGCCCTTTCTCCACCATTCGGCGAGAGAGGTCGGCGTGGCGCTTCAAAAATGGGCTCCGGCCACACGCGGAGAGTCTGGAAGTCCCGACGTCCGGTGGCAGGACCCGCGAAGCGGGTCACTGTCACCCTGCTTTGGATTTGCGGTGTCTCGATACATTGTTTTTAAGGCCGCTCTGCCGCTCTGCCCTCTAACCCAAGAGTAATGGCCGCCAAAGTTTACTTTGGTGACTTGATCGAATGTTGGTGAGTTTTCTCCAGGCGATTGTTCGATGGTCCTGCCATCCTAGAGGCTTTCAGTCCCATTGAAAAATTTGGAGCCCAGTGTCAGTGGCCTCATCAAACACGGCGCTACAGGAATTCGCTCGATTCGGATGAACCGGGATGAGTCGCAAGCGTCCCAGCTCCTTTCGACGCAATAAGGAGTTCGGCTGCCGATGTTCCTCCCTGCGCAAAGGAGTCTGTGGCCAGAAGCTTCTGCTTTGGGATTCGTTGGGTTTTGAGGACAGGTTACACCTGCTCAGAATCTGCAGCCGAAACTAAAAGTGCATTTTGACTCCACTGCTGGATCCTGACCGTCAGCTTCAGAGCAAAGTGCAAACCGATTGGGAATAAGGTCTCAACAGTTTTTCAAGCCAAAGCAGAAAACCCATAGTATACAAAAAATTGTATGGTATGAACAAGTTTCCCAGAACTCCATCGTGCCCCTCCAACCAACCATGCTGAGAAGGATTTTCGGACAAGCCCCACCCAACCATGCTGGGTTCCACTTTGAAAGAAAATGTCACTAATATATATATATATATAACTACATATGTTTGCTATTGGTGTCGTCATTTGTAACTGTTGCTGCTGTTGATGGACACAATCCAACATTGAATGAGGGGGCGCAGGGGTTGCTATGCGACCCTTCCAGGGTAAAGTGGTGAGGCGGTACAGGGTGCGGATTCTCATGGTCAGGGTTTCATGGTGGGTTGCAATAAAGTTGCATTGTTTGTTCCTGCTATCCTTGGGACGTCTTCTTCTTGCTGATTCCACTGAGCTGTGTCATTGATTCATTGATGTTGCCAATGTGGCCGCTTCTGGCTCTACATGGTTGTTGTCATTGATGTTGCCAATGTGGCATGCCATAGTCATGTTGTCACAACTCATGGTGTCATGATGCTGTCTTGCTGGGCCAAGGTCAAACGGCCCGCTGACAATCCCAGCTAACCTTTGGGACTAGGTCCTATGACGACTCACCATAAAACCAGTGGAAAAACACCTCGCATGGTCAAGACAGCCTGCTTAAGAAACAACTACCCGGATCCTGTTGGAAAATGAGCATAACTTAACAATCCCTCATCTAGTCCCCCCTTCCGTCTGATCGGCTGGGATTCGGCCCGATGTGATGCGCTATCGAGATTTGGTACGATACGCATGGCTTCTTTTGGTCCCTGCGAAAGGTTGGGATGGGTAGCAAGTCATGAAGACATGATCTTGCCAGCAGGGCTCTCCCATTCACCAAGCCCGGTCAGGATTCCTGTTTCAAGAGTCCAGGGGGAGCCCTCTCGTTCCCGCGTTCGGGCAGTCTGCGAAGATTGGAATCTTGGTATCACAATCTCTAAGCTAATGGTGGACTGGTCGGTCGGGGCTCACAGGTCACGGGTCGTGCTCATTTCATTCTTTTCAGCTTCTCTCCAAGACTATCAGTCTATCAGATTATCACATGGCAATTTTGCCGTCTCTGAGGGTCTCCCACTGTTCCGGTCAGCCAGGAGTGACCTTGGGACTATTCCCGTGCCGCCGGCCCTTTGGCAAGGCTTCAGCCACCGTGAGGAGGCTGTCCTCACACAGGTCACAACAGGGGAGCCTGGTGATGTTGCCTTGTCATAGTTAACATTAATTGAGATTGAGGGCCAGCATGTGTATGCCCGCAAAGTGTTGGTTCGGTCACCCAAAAAATGCAACACATGTTTAATTGCAAATGTGACATGTGCAGTATCTTCCTGATCGGGTTTCTATTGATAGATCGGGCAATGGTTCCTCCTCTTTTAGGGTTTCTGCTCAGAAAACCCTGCCTTCACATCATTCAACTTGTTATTTTGTGGTCACACTGATGAAATACTCACTGAATACTATAGGCTGAGACCCCAGACAGAGTTGGCGGAAAACATAGTTGTGCCGCTCTGCTCATGTATAAGTCCAAAATTAAATAACATCAGTCATTCTCTACTTGCGGGCCTCCCTTTGAGGTTGAGATACTTCCAGAGATTACGAACAGGGGGAAGCACATGTGCATTCGTCCACAGTCCTTGATCTGCTTCAACTCCACTTCCTTAGCTGCGCAGGTCAACAGAAGATTAAGCATTGAAGTCCTTTAGAGATCTCTCCGGTTCTTTCCAGCCCTCGGGAAGATCCCGGTCACCTGGTTGCGAAGATTTCGTCGCACATCTGCAGCTGATTGAGAGTTTGTCACTCACATACCTTTAATGCAATCAGTGGGTCCCAACCTTTCGATCAGCACCCAAAACTCTGTGAGAAACTTTTCAGGATTGCCTACCCCCAGTCCACCCCCTGGCCAGGCTGCGACGTAGGTTTGAAATTTGCCTGGCGGGATTTTGCTCGTGATGCTCAGTCGGACATCGTGGGCATCTACAGAACGAACAAAGAATCGCACAGTCGGAATCGATGTCCAAAGAGATAAAGAGAATGAGAAGCGACTTGAGTTCCAGTTCGTACAACATATGTACAGCAACCCAAGCAGTCCAAAAGCTTGTGTGGTGGTTTACAAGGGGCTCAAAATAATCGTAATGGTGGATGATGTCAAAGGAACCCCCTGTTGGACCTCCCTGTTGGACCTGCAGCTGTTCAAACACGCCCCTTCTGAATCTGGTTGTGTCAATCTCCTATAGTCTCGTACTGGGATAGACATGAGCAAACAACGAATCTATCCGAAAGAAAGAGCAACGCAATCTGAGCAAACAGTTGCTGTTCTTGATTCTGTTGTTGTGGGTGACGCAGAAGACCAGGTGCTTTTCCAAAATTGCACTGCTAGGTCCCCCAGATGACCCCCAAGAGCAAGCCAAGTCGCCCTGATTCTTGATCTGCCATGTTTGATCATGGATGATCCTTGGATCTAACCAAATGAGAAAACACTAGGATACCAGACTAGTGGCCAGTTTCGATTCCCCTCAAACCACCTGGTAGAAGTCTGCAACTAGCGAATTTTGAAACATACAATCATACATACCTTATTATCGTACGCAGTCTGAGCACAGTGCATCCATGTAGCACGGTTGGTATTATGTACATTATACAGTGTATATATATATATATATGTATGCTAGCCCCCCCCTGAGATCCACATTTGATGGTGTTTCCAAGACGTATTTGAGAAAAACGGAAGCAGAAGTGCATCAGATGCAAGGAAACGGCTTTGGATGCATTGGATATGAAAAAGCCAAGTGTAGATCCTGTAGGGGAAAAGTTGCCTGAAGTCATTGGAATCCAACAGACGAAGCAGACAAAGAGAAGACAGGGACCAATGTTAGAGAAGCAAGATGCAGACAGTGTTGGAGCAGCAAGATGCATACATAGACTAAAACCCTCACACACGTTTTTCCTTGTTTCGTTGCGCTAGGACTCTGACATGAACCATTTGACCAATGAACCAGTTGCGGTCCAAAGGTCTTGACCCCTCAGCCAATACTCATATTGAGCTGACCGTAGTTGCATGCGCAAGAAACCGCTTCCCACTTTGGAGTGCTGGTTGATGTTCAACCTATCCTTTAGATAGCGCCAGCAGCGGTCGATGATTTGGGCGCCTGACTTCACCTTTACAGACGTCTTGCTGCCAGGAACCTTGTGCTTGTGGATCTGCACATACGTCGGAGCCACCCACCTGAACTTCCCGTTCACTTTGACTCTCTTCTTCTTGTGTACGACTCGGTCGTGCAGGACTCCAGAGACACTGGTGGCATAGCTTTTGGCAGAATCTGTATGGAAAATGATTTGCCGATCTTGCAGCCGCTTTGCAGCCAGAGGTTCCCATTCAACCTTGCGAACGGCTCCAGGCCCAGGAGGCTGGAGGTTTGAGGCGGCGCAGCACAAGTGCCAAAGCGAATCTTTTTCTCAGCCTTGACAACCCAGGATTCCCGCAACTGGCCCAATCTCTTGCTCATATATTCAATAGTTTTGTGGTTGATGTGTAGAAGACGATGAACTGCGGCGTGAGGAATGCGATTGAGTAGAAGTAGAAGAAGGGCTGCTTGGGTAGCCAGTGGTGTAGACGAAGAGCCCCAGTGGTTAGGATGGTTCTGGTGTGGGTTCACAAACAGGAAGAGCATCGATGTTTCAGTCCACCAGCCATCAGCTTCCCAAGAGCCCCTTCTTGGCAGTGAGGGCATGTAGACCCTTCCCAACAATGAAGAAGGCCATCTTCTCGAAGCATTGCCACCAAAGATGCTGGGGACGCTGTCAAAATCTCCGTCAAGGATCTCTTCCATTTGCAGCGATCATGGCGAAGAAGTGGGGAAGCTTCCGAGCCTCGAACATACGGGACCCTTTCCCAGTCCTTTGTCTTTGAGGCCGCGGGCCGCTTCAGCACGGAACGGAGCTTAGGCTTGCCTTTCTTTGGGGCTGGAAGGTTGTTCCACTTTGCAACCATACGGTCACAGAAGCAATGGCGCCAGGTATGGCTTCACAGGATAGACTACAGGAGAGACTACCACGGGACCGATTTTATTGCGCAGCTGCAAGAATGAACCCCAAGGATGATAATGCAAGACAGAAACACAATGCAGCAGAGAATCTAGACAGACACAGTCAGCACACGCACAGCGAGCCTTCTTACGAGCAGCGCGATGTCTGGATGCTCACATGACACATGCACACAACCCCATTCGCGTGAAAGTGTTTCTATATGATTGGATCAGGCTTCTCTCATCGGAACGGACTATGCTGGAATGGATTTTCTTCCACCTCATCTTCATGCGGCATGTTGTCGATGAATTCTTCGAGCGCTGCCTCCATTTCAACATCCTCTGCACTTTGAGCACTTTGCGCTTGCCCTTCCAGGGCTCCGGAACCGGATTGGGTGGCTCTTCTCTCTCGGGCTCAGGAACCGGATTGAGTGGCTCATTGGATGGCTCTCCCCTCTGAGTGGTTTTGCCTCTGTACCGTTTGGCTGGGGGCAGCTTGAATCGACCCAGGTTAGGCACCATGACAGGAGGACTTGGTAAAACGTCTTCCTGGTCTGATGACGAGTCAACTTCCTTGTTGGGAAGGCGAAGTGGAGGTAGACGAGCTATGAGCTGTTCTTCGATTTCTCCATTCACAGCTGCAATGTAGGCTTCTGCCCTGCCGGGCGCAAACTTCTCCATGCCAGCTGAAATCATACGCACTTCACGCGCTGTCTCATCCTGCCATTCGGGCCCATGCTCCATGATGCCTAACTTGTACTTGGAGTATAAAGGCTTGTCTTTCTCAGACAAGAGATCCTTATGAAGGTCATCCACCTTGATGCGATGCACTGTGGCTCTAGAATCTTGGCTGGGCAGACGAAGGTACATGGCATGCTGGCCCAGGACGATGACAAAAGCAGGCCAGTACATCAGCAAGTCTGTCACCGGCAAAGATGCGACGGGTGAGCTTCAGGAACTCTTCACCTGTGATGGAAGTACGGTTGTCATCCGCAGGCTCATCCTCTTGACCCAGACCATTGGACGCATAGGTACGCATGCAATTGCGAGGCAACTTGGAGTCATTGTAGCGACCAGATGTAGCTTGCTCCTCCTCCACTGTGAAGAAGGATTTGAGGTCGGCCATGGAAATGCTTTCGCGGTTTGGATCGTCCAGGAAGATCCCTTCATAGACATGGCCAATGTACTGCCTGAAGTTGTCTAGAGATTTAGCCCGCCGCCATCCAGGAACACCTTCTTCTTGCAGCCGGTGTATGTGGTACCGACCCATTGCCAACAGCATAGCAATCAATGCCGGGGTCTTACCCACACCAGGCCATCCAAGGCACAAGACTCCATAGCATACAAAGAGAGGGCACAGCGCTGGCAAGATTGTATCGGACAGCATGGGCTTTAGAGAGAAGGTAGTCAATGGGAATTCCCGCTGCCCTCGTCTTGTTCTGTGCCATGATTCTCACTTTGCCTTCCGGCCAGCCTGCAATGGGCCTGTCTGAGTCTTCTTTGATGTTCATCAAGATCCAGGCGTACTGTTCGTTATGGGCATCGGACTCCGGGGCATTCTCGTTGATGAAAGAGATACCTTGCAGCAACTCTGTATCATCAGGAGCCCATATAGGGGCCGTTGTGATAGATTTGGTAGAGACTGTCACTTTCCGGCACACTTTGGCCCACTGCACATGATGTCCTGGCACTCTATCGAGCAAGGACTGGAATGCCTTCCTGACAGCCCAAGGCCCTTGACGATGGAAGGTAAGATACGGGGACCCGCAAATCTTCTTGATCACCTGGCTCACAAGCATTTTCGATTCAAAGAAGATGATCTTGATCACATCTAGGCGCCCATGGCCATCTGCAGCCACAATGCATCCAACTTTGGTTTGTTCTGGCAAAGGTTCTGCAAATTGTAAAGCGGCAGGTAGCTCGTCGACTCGTTGGTTCTGCACAGCCGAGGCAATGTTCTCAGGAGTTCCACAATCTGCTATGGAGAGACGCGCATCTAGAAGCAGGTTTGCGCTTTTGACGCCTGCTGGTGGGCGACAGCATCTCAGAAGATCTGCGACAGTCAAAGGGGCCTCAATGTCCGTCGTATGCTTGATGGTGTAACATGGCGCTGTCTGCATGTCATATTGCCACTCCTTGCCGCCGTACTCCTTCATGGCCTCGTCGACAAAGGCAGCCATAGCCTGCGGAAGCAGATGTTAGGATGCCAAGACCGCAACGAGAACTATGCAGAGCAGAACATATTGCGAACGTGAATTTAATGAGGACAAGGTGCACATGAGTCAGCAGAGGACAGATACAAGTACTACGGCTTGTGAATTGGAAGAGTTATGTGATAACGCATGTCCGATCTCAAATCTGAACAGTGAATCTCGAGTCTGAACAGAGAATCTCAAGTCTGAACAATGAGCAGCAAATCTAAAGTTGTACATGGTTTATAGTTTATCTTTGCACAAACAGTCTACTGTAACGAGCATCTTTTTTTTTGCACCGGCCGCAAAGCTCAAGCAAACATTCACCTCCCACTTTGGCCCTGCTGCCCGAGCAGCAGCGCCTTCAGCTGCTTGTTCTCTTCTTCAGCAACTTCGAGGGCATCGGAAATGGTTTGGTGGGAATCTGCAAGCGAATCAAAATCATACTGGAGTTGCAAATATCGCTCACATTTGGCACATTTTGCAGGTGGCTCAACCACATCTGTGTCTGAGAAGTCCGTTTCTACGTCCTTGGCAGGGCCCAGTGCAGGATTCGGTCCCGCCAACTCTGCATCCTTGGGAGGACCCAGTGCAGGATTCGGAGTACCCTCATGCGTGTCATCTGCTTCTGCCATGATGCCTTGATTGGGCCCTGGCTCATCGCCTGCGTCCGAAGATTCCGAAGATGACCCCGAGGAGCTCGTGGAAGAAGAATCCGAAGATGACAGGTCGTACAGGCTGCAGCAGCTAAAGCAAGGTCCTTTACGGCGATGTGTCCTTCTTGTCCTCCAAAGCATAGACCTTAGACGAACCGAACCGAATCACTGCTCTCAAGTCCTTGCAATTAGGTCATTCAACCTGCGACATATATGCGATCATGCGGCGGGTGGCCGCACCATTTTAGGCTTCTTGAGCAAAGTCAACAATCTGCTTTCCGCTTCCTTGGACCATGCACCAAGTAGCCCCACAGGAGCTAATTTGAGGCCACGCTGCACATTGCAGATCATGGCCGCCAAATGCTTCTTGAGGACGGGTAGCCTTGATTCATGGATAGGCATTTGTCCGTCCATAATTTTCTGCAGCAGGATCTGCAAAGGAACTCCCGCTGTGGTTGGTGCGTTCTGAGCACCGACATCGAGCACCACGACAGCTTGACTGCCGTTCAAAGTGACGCTGCCGCTCACAGGAATGGCCATAGTGTCCAGACAGACAGTTGAAGAGACAGTTGAAGCACGTTCGAGCAGGTTGCTGCGGGCATAAACACATGGAAGTTTGGAGACAAAGGATGCTCTGTACTGTACTTAGACAAATTTAGACTTGGGATTTCAGACTTGAGATTCTCAAGTCTGAACAGCTCATCCACGGATCCAAGATCCAAGATTTCTGAAAACTCTTGTCCAGAAATCTTGGATCCAGGGATCCTACTTGGATCCATGGATCTTGGGTGTAGGATCCGTGGATCCAAGATTTCTGGACAAGAGTTTTCTGAAATCTTGGATCTTG